AAAATTTTAGAATCTACAAAATCTCACAATAGGCAACCACATACAAGTAGTACAACAACGTTCATTTCGATACGATAACGATTTCCTCCTTGTGTTTTTCTATTAAAAAACCATTGTGTTAATTTCTTCCCTCAAAGTTTCAAAACAATGTTGTGAGTGTTTTTTGTCAAGAACAGTTTGACATTTATAATACTAGTATTAAATATGTCATTAATATATTAAATATTACTATAATATAATATATTATAATTAAAAGGCTAAATTGCACTTATATTTGTTTCTCCAAAAGACATTTATATACCCTAAGCTACAAAACAGAGCAACTACATACCTTGTTGACCCTATAGTTTTGATGATGATTTAACAAACAATTTATTACTAATAAGTTTTCTAGTGTTTTGTGTTTTTGTTCTCTTTTCAGGTATTTCAACACGCGTCATTAAAGCGTTAAAGATTCAAGTTCATCTGCGTGAATTTACCTAGGTATTTGTTTAGTTTACTTACATATATTGTATGATGATATCTAAGCTCAATATATATACACTTAACACGATTTTTGACATTTTCTATCATATAGATGATTTTTTATTAAACGTTGATAAAATATCTTTATCTCTTGTTTACATCTCTCTCATACTTTATTATATACATATAATATATGCACAATATATATATGAATATTTACAAGTCCTATATCATCTTTCACTTTCATAAAAATACAGGTTTTCTAAGCATTTTTCAAAAACAGATAGTTTTCACAAACGAAATTTGTTTTTCCAAAAATTCCTTTTCAAACATGTTCATTTCATCATTTATAAACTTTCCCCAAAGTTTCACTATTTTTGGATATGAATTGATATTTTTAACGAATTTTCAAAACTGCCCAAAACCTGTCATTTTACCCATATCAGTTTTCGGTCGACCGATACGGTCGACCGAAGGTTGTCTGTTTTCTGAGAAATTTTCAAGTGTTTTCCGATCGACCGGAATTTCCGTCGGTCGACCGAAATTTCCATTCGGTCGACCGAAATTTACGTCGGTCGACCGAAATTTACGTCAGTCGACCGCCAGCTTTAAAACATTATTTTCTCAGGTTTTTGAACTAATCGGTCGACCGTATCGGTCGACCGACGAGTTGACAAACTGAGCCTAACGGCTAGTTTTTCAAATGGGCTTTTTGGTCTTTCACCTATTTCTAGCTGTTGTATTGGGTGCTATATATACCCTATTGCTGCTCTTCTTCTCTATCAATCAAGAAATCCAAGTTTACTGTTTAGCAAGATATTAATCACGTTTAAGAGCTGTTTAAGAAGTGTTTCGTTAATCTGTTTTCAAGAGAAAGTTTTCTACAACAAGAAGAGGCTCTCATATTCCATTGGGATCATATTCTTCAGCTCCTCTTGTTTATTGAGAAGTTTTTCTAAACTCTTTCCATATAGCTTATTATCTCACTTTCAATTGATTAGCTATATTCATTAAGTTATTTATTGAGTTTGATTCACTATTATCACACACACTTATTGAGCTTGATATTTCCATATTATATATTGTGGGATTGTGGAGTGTGATTTAGTGAGTGTGAGCTTCATTGTGTTCTCACTTGTTAATTGAGAACAAATCATTGTATTTAACTTTTATTTGTGAGAATCACTTGTAATACACTTGTACACCGAGAGAAGTGTGAGGAGAGAGAGACAGGGTCAAATCCAATAGGAGTGACGTCGATTGATGAACCTAGGAAGAGGTTGTAATCGAGCATTTGAGGAGGAGGACATGGGCTAGGTTCCTACACTTAGTGTGTAAAGTGTGATTGTTGAGTGATTGTGTAGTGTGAGAGTTTTCGGTGAACTTGTAAACCGAGTGTGTAGAAGTTCCGGCTTCCAAACCGGATTGTGATAGTGGATATCTCCTCGAGGTGAGGAGCGGGGACGTAGGTCGTGGGGACCGAACCTCGTAAACATATCGTGTGTTTGTGTTTTGCTTGTCTCATATTTTATTTGTGCATATTCTTATTGTTCTTATTGTTCATATCTATCTCTTGCAAGAACATATTGATCAACATAATTTTAATTGCTATTAATTGGGATTAGATTAGCATAAGACCCTAATCACCCCCCCTCTAGGGTCTAACAAGAGGTATCAGAGCTTGGTGCTCTTTGATTTAAGGACTAACCGCCTTGAGTTAAAGATCCAAGTTATTGTATTAGTGCTAATCTAATTTTGATTAATTGTGCTTCTTGCATTTCATCTCTATGGATATGAATGATTCATCTTGCTTAGGATATGCTATTAATATTGCTCCTCGTTTGGATAATTTCCCCTATGCTCAATGGCGTATTAGATTCAAACTTTTTGTTCAATCTAAACAATTTGATTTATGAGAAATTATTGAGGATGCCTATGTTGTTCCCACCTTGGAAAAATCCAAATGGTGCAAGAATGATAAAAGATTGTTTAACATGAATAAGCTTTTGCTAGGATTTTTGATTAGCGCTTTTCACTCATCGTTTTCTAACAAACTTGCTAATTTTGATAGTGCTTATGCTTTATGGAAACTTATTGAAGCACATGAAGGAAAATTGGAGGCTATTCAACAAGCGTTGGAAAATCCCGCTTTGAGTTCTAAGGAAGCCTCATCCCCATGTACAACACCACTAGGTAGTAACCCTAGTGAGGTATGCGATAACGATGATATTATTACTTTTGATGAACTTGCTCTTGAGTTTGAAAAATTACACAATAGCTATATTGATGTAAAAAGTAAGTATGTTAATATAAAATCTATTCATGAAACACTAGCTACTAAGTTTAATTTTATTGCAAATGAAAATATAATTCTTAAAGAATGCAATGAAAATTTGAAAATTGAAAATGCTAGTTTGCTTCATGAAAAACGTGATGCTATGTTAGAAGTAGATAAGTTAAAATCTATGATGAGTAATCTTGTTTATCCTACTTCTAGTAGCAATACTTGTATGCACAATGATGAGTTGAATCAAATGAGAAAAAGAATATCTACCTTAGATTCAACACTAAATACTTGTATTGCTAATAATAAAAAGCTTATGGACTTATGTGCAAAGTTCAATGTTAATTCTTCTAAGAAACCTATTCACTATGCACATATGTATGACAAAATTCACAAATGTTCTATTTGCGGTCTTAAAGGCCATTTAGCTCAATTTTGTCATAATGCACCAAAAATTGACAAGCCTATACATGATTGTGCATCCCATCAAGCTTCATCATCACATACTCATGTACACACACATAGTGTAAATCATAAACATGCTCATGTGTATAAATGTGATTATTGTGGTCGTTTTGGTCATTTGGCCATGTTTTGTTTCGATTTGAAAAGAAATTCTCGTTTGCAAAATAATTACAAAGGAAAATCTATTTTTGCAAATGAACCACGTGCATTCCATTTCGGTCAACGTAAACCATTCAACGGTGCACAAAATACGCCTAAACGGGTTCATAACCCTAGGGCCTTAGATTTAATTGCTAGGGGTCATGTCCCAAGTTCTAGTGGTACCAAAATGATTTGGGTACCAAAAAAACTTATATAGTATTTTTTAATGTTTTGTTTTGTCTTGTTTTTGAAAAATTTCTTTTTGGCTTTGAATGACAAATTATTTTCCTTATGTCAAAATAAATTATTTATATGTTTTTAATAGACAAAATTACTTATATATATCTTATAAAACTTTTAG